AGTTATCTATCTACCCATCCATCCAGTTAATTGTTCATACATCCATTAAAATTAAATGTCAGCTCATAATAGTTTAAAATGTGTAGGACGAGTAAAATATTTGACGACAGCAACAACATCGTCGTCGTCATCATCATCATCGTCATCATCAACAAAAATAATAATAAAAATATTATTATTATTATTAATGACATCATTGAGTCCGGTGAAATGCGAAAGTTAGTGCCAATTTTATCTTTATTTTTGCACTATCTATCAGTTAGCTAATGATTAATTAGTTAGTTAATTAAACTAACGAATGAATGAATGAGTGAATGAATGAATGAATGAATGAATGAATGAATGAATGAATGAATGAAATATTTCTAAATCATAAATAGCGAAATATAGATAGATTATAAATTAGCGGACATGTTAATTAATGAGACAAAACAAATTACTCATCCAATAAATAAACAATATTAAATATTTAACGAATAAATAAATTTAATGAACTAATTGAATTAAATTAGATAATCAAGGAAAATTAAGTTAAAAATTTAATGAATTAATTGAATTAAATTAATTAATTAAGGAAAATTAAGTTAAAAATTGCGTTACTAGCAATGTGGTTGTCTGCCAGAGGCGAGTTGGTGGTGATGTACGTAGATGGGGTGAAAGTTGACCAGCTGCCCTTCTTCAATGATTGGTCGAAAGCTGATCAGGTGTCTGTTGAAAGCAAGGCCATGGTCAGTAATTCGGCTTTTTGGTTCCTACGATAATCATTTTTACTGTGCAAAAAAAAAAAACAACCCGCAACTCACAACTGACATAATAATTAAACTTCCAATCACAGTTTAAATATTTTTCAACCAGCCAATCACAATAAAGGTATTAGATCCTAACCCCAACACTTAAACAGCCAATCACAATTAAGATATTGGACCTTGACTCTTATCAGCCAATCACAATTAAGATATTGGACCCTGACTCTTATCAGCCAATCACAATTAAGATATTGGACCCTGACTCTTATCAGCCAATCACAATTAAGATATTCTACCCTGACCCTGAATCGTAAATAACCAATCACACAAGATATAATTTTTAATCATTCAATAACGTGCTAGATAATACTTAGCTGACCAATTGCAATTGAAATAACTCGAAGATGAATATAAATTGAAATAACCAAAA